TGATTTGCAAGTTTATGTTTCTGTATTTCCTCATTAAAACGTTTTAGAATCTTGAAATTGGGAAAGTGAGACTGTGTAACTAGAGTATTTTTTAAACTATGTTTCTATAGTTCCTCGTTGAAACGATTTAACATCTTGAAATTGGGAAAGTGAGACTGTGTGTCTAGAGTATTTTAAAAATTTTGTTATTGTTTTCACTATAAAATGGTATGATTTCTTGCATTTTGATTCATCCTCTCCTTCGTTTTAATCTTAACAAAAAGAAGCCTGAGTCAAAAGTTGCATAGAAGCAATTCGTTGACGATGAATCTCGAGAAAAAACTCAGCGTTTGACAATGAGAACAAACTCACTGTGAGTGGATCAGTATCTATGTTCGATAACGTCATGGTTTGAATTTGCATTTAAGCCACCGGGTTCAGATTATAGGTTTTACATTGAGATCTGTCATCTGTAACACATCCACCAAACTGTTTTTTTTTTCTGCAGTGGTAATGTGTATGAATATGTGCCACTTGATGAATGTGTCTTTCTTATTATCAGGTTTGCTAAAGCATGTTTAGTTATTATGATTAATGTTTATTTTCATCAATTAACATAGCTATGGATAAAAGACTAGAGTTTTATTTCCTCAAACATAACGTGCAGCTCAGGCAGATTACCATGGCATGTACTTTGCAGGTATAGCCAAGAAGCTCAAGAAACAGTCTCCCGTCTAGAGCCGAATAGTGGACTGACTCTGTGTTTCATGTAATAATCATTATGTAAATGTAGAAGAAAGCTGTAAAATAAGGTTGACATGCAAAGAAAAACATCAGTGTGTAATCACATTTGAACCATGCAAATGCTACAAGTTGATATCAGTATAAAAGTATCCCCTTGAACAAAATGACCAGTTAACTTTGCAGGTTGCAAACCTTTTACTTGATGAAAATATTTGTAGAGCCTTTCATTAGTTTTTTAATTTATTTTTCTTAACAATCAACACGTTGTGAGCTTTTGTCTCAGTCTCCACAGATCATAGACCATTAGCAAGATAGCAGTTCTTTTAACATCAAGGTTGTGTAGTCCACATTCTCTGATGTTAATACTCGAGCAGGCAATAAACAAGCGTAGCTTAACTGTGAATAAACTCTTCTTCTTGAAGAGAAGGTTTTATATTTGTAAATAAGCAAAGGGAACCACAAACACATTAGAAAGCTTTCGTCTGGATCCACAAATTGTTGTGGCTGTGGTTCCCAGCCTATGGAGCATCCAGCGATGCAATACATATCATATTTGCTGAGACAAAAACGTAAAAATATCATAAAAAAAGAACTGGTTTTAGGTGTGAGAGAGTTTCTTGAGTATGAATGCCATGCCCAACAACATGGCTATAGCCGAGACTCACCAAAAAGCATTAATCAAGAAGGAAAAAAACAGACGCATGTATACTAAAGTTATTTTGGACGATCGATTCATTTGTTTACGCTAGACAAACTGTTTTAAGAACTACAACATTGCAGGCTCTGCTCCTCATTGATTTGAAAGCCGCGGCGTTGTAGCAATTCACGTGATCATCTTCCAATTGTTTGCAGAGTTTTAAACTATCCAAATTTGGAGAAAACAGGATATGTTTTATCATAACATCAAACAACTTTAACTGTAAGAGTTGATAAATATAGTATGAGAAATAAAGAAATAACGATTTACCATTGATAATTTTTTTTAAACATCTAATGTTTCATAGAAGAATTTAAAAAAAAATCTATGTGTCTTATTGGTATAGTTAAACTAAACTAAAATAAACATTGAAATACATTTTCATTTTTAGTGTAATTAGGCAATTTTATAATTTCTAAATTGAATATTTAAAACACATAGATAAAATTATTGTAAAATATGAATCTTAATGGCATTTTCAGTTAAAAGTAAATTGAAGATTTAAATTAAATTTTTATTATTAGTTTATTTAAATGAGATGTGTCTAGCAAGTACAAATATCTCTCTTTGTAAAATGTGGAAGCACTATATGCAATTATTAAAAATTATTTCAAAATCAAAAAATGGAATACAAAAGGTTACAAAATACTCTGATAAAAAAATGCTAATATATTCTTATCCATATATTGGAATTTTATTTTCTTTTAAAATAATATTAGGAGCAAGGTTGCATGAGTGAAAAGAATTTAATGCATCTTCATATATTAGGCGAATACATTATTTTAGTAGACCATAAATTAAGTAAAATTTCACTAAAACATATGTTATCATCGAAGTTATCAAAAAATAAAATTATCATCGAAATCCGGGCTCCTCTAGTTTGTATATATATATGTGATCAATGGCGGACCCAGCATCTAATTTTACTTGTGTCACAAATATATAATTTTTTAAAATATTACAATAAAAGTGTTAACAATGGGATTTGAAGCCAGGTTTGGAGTGTCAAATACATCACAAACACCATTTAAGCTACTGATTCTTTACGCAATTGGCTACAAAAGAATGATATTTATCTCTAATAAAAATATTGCATACATATGATTTATAGTATTAATATTGGTATTTACACATATATATATATATATATATTCTCATTATATGTACTATTATATACTATAAAAACATAAAAATGAGTTTATATTTCATTTATTTATATATGATATTCTCTTTTTTTTTTTAAATTGGAAGCGTGATTCTAAAGTGTAACCGTAAACTTTCAACGTGTTTTAATATATGTTATTTGAATTTTTTTTTGAAATCGAGATTCCGCAAGCTTTCACAAGGTTCTGATTCCGGTTTTGAAGTGTGAAACGCACGTCCGATAAAACTTCAGTATAACGTTTGACTAGAAATAATGTTTATATCTTAATATCTATGGCTTACACCGAATAGTAAGTCTAGGTATATGTTCGAGTTGAATTGTTTGGGTTTCAGTTCCTAGATCATATTCATGTTCTTTTTTAAGTGAACATAATTAATATAAGTATTCAACTAAATAAAAGTTGAGAGTTTAGGCCCCAAAAGGAAGGAAAAGAAAAGGGATTGTTTTACACCACTTGAATCTATATATCTATATATATAAAGGAGAAACCTTTTCTCTTCTCCTTACGCCACATCATCAACCACATAGATAAGTTACTTTACGTCGTATTGACACATGTCCAGTGTGGAGGATATCTTGCATTTCATTTAGACACGTATCATACTGGACTTTTTCCATATGTTTGATGTTAGGCTCTCAGATTCGTCACTCTGACCGGCCCGAGAAGTTGAGATTTGCCCTCTAATCCTAATTAATTGATCGGGATTTGCAGATCGTCTTTCCTTTTTTTGCGGTGGTAATGCGTGACTTCTGAGTTTCCTTACCCTTACTGAAACCGTCGAAGTTATAATTTTGTCTTTATTCCAATTAATTATTTCGTCCACTATGAGATCTTTAAAAAATAATAATACAAACTATGCGGAAACAAAAAAAAAATCATCCAAACAAAAACCTTTTGTTTACATTAACCATAAAGCAATAATACAGTAGACATTACAAACTTAATCAGATAAATATACATTGGAAGCAAAACTAAGTAAAAGATAGTAGACCATTATTTCACATTACATTATTACTCTTAAAATATAAATCAACAATATAAACAACCGTGAAAATACCTACAAAGACAATGTTATTATAAATAAAAATAATTAGAGATCTAGGTCACCAAAATATAAATAAATGTCATAATAAAACATGACACATAATGTGATAGTGAAGTACCACTCCCTTTCTTTGGCGTGAGTGAATTGCCACTAATTTTGAAATAAACATATAAACATCAAAATAAATAAATTAAGGGACACGCAAGTAAAATCAATAGGATGACAAACAAAATTTTAAAATATTCAATATGCTTGATAGAAAATAAAATGTTTAAACATAATAAACTTGCGATCGACCTCAAAATATTATTTTCAACAAATTTGTTCATGTTTTCATATTTGGTTATTTATTTTAATTTACTTATTACTAATTTAACATTTATATCTACTGATTGGACTGTCAAACTTCTTCTAACACAGTTATCTAGGTATGTTCATTCTGGATTTCAGTCCGATTTGGGATTTTTCTTTTAGTTTTTTGGTATTTCGGTTTATAAAAATTAATTATCATATTGGATCCATATTTAACTTGGTTTGGTTCGGTTTATTTCGTTTTATACAAAAATAATATAACTATATTTATCCTAGATAAAAATTAGTTTATATGATTAGAAATCAGAATTAATTAACATAAATATATATTCCTTACAATAACTTTATAATATAATATTTTATACTTTATATTTATATCATAATTATTTTCATGTAAATATATTTCTAAAACAAATATTTACCAATAAAAATCATGTTTAATTTAATTTGATGAAAATGAGAAAAAAAATAACTTTTTAGCTTAAAGCAAAATGCCAATTAGTAGAATGGCTAAGATGTTTGAGAAAATGGTAAACATAGTTATGCAAAAATGGATCCAAATAATCACCTAAAGATTTGCATGTATATCTTCTCTCTCTATACATATAGATATGAATTGTCAAAGATTAACCTCAACTTTAAAATTGTCATTACTTTATTTTCAGCACGAATTGATGTAATGCCACCCCAAAGAAAAAAAGAAAAGCTAACTAATTACCAAAATAACATAGTTTATTTAGACTTCAAAGAAAAAAATAAATACAGAATTTAACCATTATTTATATTTTTTAACTAATAAAAATTAAAATAATTATTCATTCAAACTATTTAAATTATTTTCGGGTATACATCCCGTCCGTAGGGCGGACCGACCCTAGTATTTTATAAAACCATAGCGGTAGAAATAAAAATATTTAAGGAATGATGTGTTATTATAATGTTGTAAGAAAGCTTAAGTGGACTTTTTTGAATCTTCGTTTTGAATCAGTCTCAATCGCTGGTGTTCTCACGACTGAGGACAAGTACTCTCTCTTAAGCTTCCTCTTTGTCTCTTCCATCATTTTCTTATTCTCCTCTCTGGAATGAAGAATGAAGACTTCTCAGTATTCAACATCTCGTCAGTCAAGGTAATGGAAGTCTTTGCTCCTTTCTCCACCACTGCAAGGATAAGGTTCATTGTAGCTTGTGCCTTTTGAAGGCAATTGTTTCGGGGCTCTTCATATCCCAGTATCGACTTGCATAGAAAGTCTAGAGAAGGCCTTCGAGGCTGAATTGATTCAAACTCAATGCATATCTCGAAGTATCCATTATTCTCCTTTGGAGGCTCACAAGAGTATTCATATTTGAACACAAGTGAAGTGTCTAATACTTTTGGTGTGATCCAACTTGAGTGCTTGTAGGTCCATTTTGAGAGGGTGACCGACCATGATAGTATCCACAGAAAGTAAGTTAAGCAGTTTCTCCTGAATATCTGTAAGAGAGAGAGTGTGGGAGGCATTCTCGAGATCTTGGACTACTTCATGACACGGTGTAAAGAGCTCATCAATACAAGTCAGTGATTATTCTCCTGAATATATAGAATAATCACTGACTTGTATTGGTCTCATCATGCGCAACATGATGCCAATAGACCGATCAGAGAGTAAACGAGCGAGATAACGGCTGGGATTAAGAAAGCGAAATCTTGGGTGTTTAAATTTCATGAACTCGTCCCATGACCCATGGTCGCCTTCCATCGACTACGCACTATGTGCATTTTTCCTCCAGTGAATCTAGCATGAACTCCATCACAGCGTCGCTTACAGTTCCGCCGCTTCTTTTAGGTTTCAACAGAGTTAATTAGGATCAGCGGTGGGTAGGGTTTCTGATCATCTATTCTATTAAAATAGAGTCATTCTTTTTATCTACTGATACAAGTTGTCATTTAAATTTGGACTCTTTCTAGAGTGTTACAAATAATACAAGTTATATAATTGATTGAACCGCATTACTTAAATTAAACCGGCGGTTATTTATAGAATAGAGTTTTGGGCTTACTTTTGTTTTTATGACATTTAATTGTTTGGTTTTTGGGCTTAGTATTAAAGAAAAACTCCAAAAAACATTAAATAAACTTTCCACCTTAATGAATCAAAAATCAATTACTATTTTCAGACCAAAAAATATTTAATATTTTCAACAAAACAAAATTATCTATTATTAATCACATATTTAAATCATGTACTTTAAAACATGTTAATATTTTATGTTAATATTAGCCCAAAAATATTTAATATTTTCAAGAAAACAAAATTATTTATTATTAATCACTTATTTAAATCATGTACTTTAAAACATGTTAATATTTTTTTTTTTAAATAACAATCACTCTATCTTGATAAATTTTAATGATTACTTTTAAATAATTTATTCTTTTATTTTTCTTAAATAATTTACAGATTTAAAAAAAAATGTAAAGCAAAACCAAAAACCAAATCTAAAAACTAAAATCCAAAACCAAAAGCTGAAAACGCTGGTTATATTTTTTGTTTTTTTATTACAAAATAAACTATTACAAAATTTTTAGAAAATTATTTTGTCATCTTTTCAGTTTTAAATTACATGTTCGATTAATTGAGATTTTTTTTTTGGTAATATCATTTCAAACTAACTTAGCAGGTCTAAAAATTTAAAACTCAAACCAAAAGCTGAAAATCAAAAATAGAAACTTATAAAATAAAAATCAAAAACCAAAATTTAAAACAAAATCTAAAAATAAAAACTAAAACTAAAAATTAATGAAAAACAACTATCACCACAAGTTTTGGTGAACTGATTTTATCCCAAAACATTCTTTAAATTAAGATAAAACCCAATTACATAAATTTTTAATCATAAAAAAATTATGCGCTTGAATTATATTTTTTTGCTTTTTATTACAAAATAAACTATTTCAAAATTTTTAGAAATTTATTTTTTCATCTTTTCAGTTATAAATTACATGTTCGATTAATTGAGATTTGTTTGTTAGTAATATCAGTTCAAACTAACTCACCGGATCTAAAAATTAAAAAACTCAAACCAAAAGATGAAATCAAAAATAGAAACTTAAAAATTAAAACCAAAAAAATAAAAATCTAAAAATAAAATTGAAACTAAAAACTAATGAAAAACAATCATCACCTCAAATTTTGCTGAACTAATTTTATACCAAAATATTTTTTAAATTAAGACAAAACCCCAATTATATAAATTTTTAATCATAAAAAATTTGGGTAATATCAGTTCAAACTAACTCAGCGGATCTAAAAATTAAAAACTCAAACCAAAAGCTGAAATCAAAAATAGAAACTTAAAAATTAAAACCCAAAAAATAAAAATCTAAAAATAAGAATTGAAACTAAAAACTAATGAAAAACAATCATCACCACAAATTTTGGTGAACTGATTTTATACCAAAACATTCTTTAAATTAAGACAAAACCCCAATTATCTAAATTTTTAATCATAAAAAATTTCTGCGCTTTTAAGCGCGGGTCAAAATCTAGTATACATGTATAACTAGGTGTTCTCCTGCACCATGTGCAGTAAAAAAAATTAAAAAAAAATTTTAACGGATATAATACAAACTATGTTTAAAATTAAAATTTTAGTAATATTATAAATTTTCTTTTTCTTATCACTATTTTAATACAAATTTTGTTTAATCAAACATAAAAAGTAATGTACAAATATTTTTGTTTATTTTAAATTATATTTAAGAATATGCATGTATATGTTTAAAATTATAATCTTAGATAATTTTTTTATCTATTTATTTTAATTAAATATGTTAAATAAATTTAGAAAATTTTATCAAAAACTAAAATTAGACAATATTTATCAAATTTTAAATATATAAGAAATTAATAATTTTACGATTAAATTTTAATAATTTTCTAAAAATGTATACATTTTTGAAATTTTTGTAATAAAATTGTATAGTTTTAAAATATATAATCAAATGATATTTTCAAAATTTTTAATGCCATGTTGGTATATATTTATTTTAATGATGATTTATGAGTTATTACCATATTTTAAAAATATTTCCAAAAATATAAATCGACATTAATTGTAATATATGAATTGTTACCATATTCTATAAAGTTTTCCAAAAATATATATTAACATTAAATGCAATTGTCTATGTCATATTTAATCATAGGCCATGTCATCAATTCTAATACACATGTCACCATTTTTTTGTGAAACTGATTCTAAAGAAGACATGTGGTAAAATCACTTAAATATATTAAATCAATTTGTAGAAAATTTTATAATTATAAAAAATTAAAATTAGACAATATTTATTAAATTTTTAAATATATAATAAATTAATAATTTTATTATTAAGTTTTAATAATTTTCTAAAAATGTATACATTTTTGAAATTTTTGTAATAAAATTGTATAGTTTTAAAATATATAATTAAATGATATTTTCGAAATTTTTAATGGCATATTGGTATATATTTATTTTAGTGATGATTTATGAGTTATTACCATATTTTAAAAATATTTCCAAAAATTTAAATTGATATTAATTGTAATACATGAATTGTTATCATATTCTATAAATTTTTCCAAAAAAATATATTAATATTAAATGCAATTTTCCATGTCATATTTAATCATAGGCCATGTCATCAATTCTATTAGACATGTCACCATTTTTTTGTGAAACTGATTCTAAAGAGGACATGTGGCAAAATCACTTCACAAATAATGTATAGGGGATTTTACCGTTTTTTAATAATATTTTAGTTTGATATATAAGTTGCAGTTTATGTTAAAATTTATTTTGTAGCTATATCTTTGGGTTCGAGTTAACTATTATTTTTGGGGTTCAAATTATTTTGGTACAATTAATTACGATTATTTTATATCATATTATAATAAACACATAATTTAATTTATATTACTTTTTAAGTTTCAAATATTTATGTTTAGATATTGAATAAAAATAAACAAAAAATGAATATGTGAAGTATTTATTTAAATTTTAAATATTTATTTCAAATATAATTTTGGATATCTAGATTGATTTTCTCTTTCTTTCAATTTTTTTTTAGAAACTGCATGATAATATTTTAGGTTCATGTATGTATTATATCATCTTATAAAATCTATTAGAACATTTCACATCTCATATCGGCTAAAAAAATATCTAGATTTAAGAAAACAAACCGAACTCGATACAAAAAATATATCCAATCTGAACTGAAACTTGTAAAATACCAAACATATCTAAATTTTTAAAAATAATTATAAATTAAAAAATTAATCTAAAAAATAATGAATATAATTCTGAGATTCTATTATTATTTTTAATAAATATTTTTGGTTGGAATTAAAATGACGATAAACTTCATTATTCTCTATATCTAGAGAATACAAAACTAACAAAAATAATTCATAAAAGGTAATATATATATATACATATATATATATATACTTGTTATTTTACTTCAATTTGACATAGTAAAAATATATAAAGTTTAAATAAATAAATAATACATAATTTATTTCTGAAGATACATGTTAAAAAAAATTACGTGAATGTTTTTTTGCAATAATAAATTACTCAACTTCCAAACTAAATCAAATAAAATATAATATAATTTGATAAATAATTCAATCTCAGTTTCAAAAATGCTATATATAAAATTTAATAATATTATCAATAATAATAAATATTATATAATTTAACAGGAAGCAATGTTTTAGAATATCTTTGTTTAAGATCATAAATGTATATGGAATTAAATATTAATTAATTTTTAATGTTTTACTGGTTATGTTTCTGTAACGAATTAATGCTTTTGGTGAAATGTTTTTAATAATAAAACTAGGATATGACCCGCGCCTTGCGCGGGATGAAGTTATTATTTTTATTATGTTTTCGAAAATGAAACAAAAGTTCGGTTTCATCTAGATTAAAGATGTTCAATATGGATATCGGGTTTCAATATTTTGGTTATTAAAATATAACTACTATTTTAAATCCATATTTACTTCAGTTTGATTTGGTTTATATATTGGTTTTCAGTTTATTCAATTTTATACCAAAATACATCATTATTTAGTTTGAAATCATATTATATATTATAAAAATAAATAATATGATCATATTTAGAGTCATATTTTCAAAAAGTCATTAACTAAAAAAATATTATATATTTAACTAAAAGAATAAAAAAGAAAGAAAAAAGGCTTTATGATCTAACAAAATGATCAAATCTAGAATTAATATCAAATCTCTAAATTTTGAAAATAAAAATAAAAACAAAACAGAAGCATGAAAGAAAAGTTTTTATATTCTTCCATATTTAGTGTTCATCAAATTAATATGTCTTCGATTGAACTCAACTCTGTTTGTTTAAAAATTAAAAAAAAATTGTAAAGAATTTCAACTAATTGTTGTCCATCAAATTTCTAATTTTACTTCAATTCAGTTTTTATTAAAAATAAAAGAAAA